AAACTTCCTTTATATTTATTGTCTAAATCGCATTCTCTGGTTTCCAATATAATACAATTTAGTAATTTATTATTTATATAATATTTAACACAGATGTGTCATGTTTTGTTCTTTTTCTTCTCTGTGGCGTCATGTTATATTGCTTTATAGAGAAGAACTATGTTCAAATCTCTGTACTTATTCAAATCCTAATCTATAGTTGTAGAAGAAACTATAAAAAATTGCTTACTGAATCTTTCATAATGAAGTCTGTTTTTCTATAAAATCATTCACCAATACTGGCATTTGCTAATGCTTCTGCCTAGGGATTCTATAATATTATTGCATTATACTTTCTTGATAATTAATTTTTATTATAGGATCATTGAATGTAATGGAAATCAACCTTGCACATAACCTCAGATCCTGGACGCACCTCCCTCCAAAAGTATATTCTGAATAAACCTGTTACCAAAATTTAGAGTCATTAGTTTTCCAGACCATTAATGATACTCTTGTGACCTTACCCCAACTCAGTAGGTTTTCCATTTTTATTTATGGAAATTAAATTAAGGCTTCTCAAGGTCTTGTTGTTTTTTAAATAAAAGTTTAATAAAATATCAGTGACCATCTTTAGATCTTTATTATCAATCTGTTGGTAAAGATTGACATTATTTTATCAATATTTGGTAATTACTTTCTATAAATTGTGAGATTTTATTTTTTGCATAATATTTAATATGTTTACATGAGTCTTTATATTTTATTTTCAATTCTAGTTTATATTCAATATTGTTTTGTATTGTTTTCAGATATATGCATAGTGGTTAGACAATCATATGCTTTACAAAGTGGTCCCTCTGATATTTGCAGTTCCCTCCTGGCACCGTACATAGATATTATAATATTATTGGTTATATTCTCTACAGTATAATTTACATTCCTATAACTATTCCCTTAACTACCAATTTTTACTTCTTAATACCTTTACCTTTTTTACCCAGCCACCCACCCCTCTTCCCTCTGGCAACATCAGTCTGTTCTCTGTATCTATGAGTCTGTTTCCATTCCATTTGTTCGTTTATTTTGTTCTCTAGTTTCTACATATAAGTGAAATCATATGGTACTTTCCTTCTGTCTTATTTCACATAGCATACTCTACAACAGATTTTCCTTATTTAAGAACATGACCTCCATCTAGTGGACAATATGTTATATTACATCCTGCAAAGAAAAGTATCAAAGCTGCCAAAACCAGTTTGGCTCTGTGGCTAGAGCATGGGTCTGCGGACTGAAATGTCCCAGGTTCAGGTTCGATTCCGGTCAAGGGCATATACATTGGCAGCTGGTCGATGTTTCTCTCATTATTGATGTTTCTAGCTATCACTCTCCCTTCCTCTCTGTAAAAAAAATCAATAAAATATGCCATATTAAGTATTTTGTGACCTATTAAGATTTTTTCCCTTAAAAGGTAATGTTAATTGTTTTAACATATTTATCAGTATTTTTCTATTTTTCTAAATCTTATAGTTGAGAATCTCTGTTAGTTAAGACTTGCTTAATGTGCCGAAACCGGTTTGGCTCAGTGGTAGAGCCTCGGTCTGCGGACTGAAAGGTCCCAGATTCGATTCCGGTCAAGGGCATGTACGTTGGCTGCAGGCACATCCCCAGTGGGGGATGTGCAGGAGACGGCTGGTCGATGTTTCTCTCTCATTGATGTTTCTGGCTCTCTATCTCTCTCCTTTCTCTCTGTAAAAAATTAATAAAATATTTTATAAAAGAAAAAAAAGACTTGGTTAATGTAATTAGAAGAATATAATAATAAAAAACACAAATTGCTGATTTGGGAGTTATATTAATATTTACTCAATTGAATGAAGAAACCTAAACTAAAAATTGTTCTCCTTTATTTCCTATATTTTTGATAATGCATAGCAAGGAGGGGGTGTTCACTTTTTTTTTTTTTTAATGAAAGAACAGACAAGATTGTGCATGTTTAGGATGGTATGCCTATAGACAATGCAATATACAAATGTTGTATTATATAATAGTTCACTTGAAGCCTATACAATTTTATTAATCAACTACAGGCTAGGTGCATGAATTCATGCATGGGTGGGGTCCCTCAGCCTGGCCAGCGATTGGGCCCAATTGGGCCCATCTCGCCCAGTCCAGATTGAGCCAGCTGGCCAGGGGGAGGAACCGTGGGCAGTTGGCAAACTGACCCAGTGGATAGATTGTGGGAGGTTGGTTGGCCATAGAAGGTTGGCTGTGGGAGTGCACTAACCACCAGGGGCAGCTTCTGCATTAGTGTCTGTCCCCTGGTGGTCAGTATGCGTCATAGCTACCAGCCAGTCATCTGGTCATACAGTTATCTGGTTGTAATGGTCGCTTAAGCTTTTACATATATAAATGTCACTTTAAAAAATGTAATGAAGTTTAAAATAAATAAAACATTAAAAATATATTTATTTTCAAGGGCATAAAAATAAATCCTTTTTATGTGTTCACATGATTACGTAGTCATCTTCACGCAGAAGAACTTCCATGACTACTGTCTTAAAACAGAAATATCCTCCTACCCTTCTCCTATTCAGAGGTCTTGCATGTCTTTCAGATGTGTACTCAAGGCCTTCAAAAGCCCTCTTTAAATAAAGTAATACTCTTTTATAAGACTTTTTGGATATCCCAGCCTGGATTAATCTTATCTTCTTCAATTTTTGTATCTCAGTCTGCTCATATTAGTTACTTAGTAAATGCTTACTTAATTAAGCATACCCAAAAAGAGCTTGTCAGAGACCCTAACATATCTCTTTAATGATTAGAGGTCCATTTCCCCTGTGGCCTTCCTCAGGATTGCCAAAATACCCACATACATGAAGTGGCATCTTTCTAGGTGAAACAAATGTCCCCGGTTTGGGTGTCACAGTTATTAGCACACATTTGCAGTTTACATAATTATACATTAGAACTGGAAGAACTTCTGAAATAATAGATGGTTGAATCCAGTTAGCTTAGTAACTTCAGTCGGTTAACTAACTTTTCTAGGAGCTAGTATTCTTTTCTATAAAATGAGTCTATTAAACTAGATAATCTCTCATTGTCCTTCAAGGACTAAAGCAATGCATTTATAAAGTGACACAATTCTAAGAAATTTTTAAATAGGAAAATACATTATGTTTTTCCTATTTTTTTAATAACTGGCTTGATTTAGAGTCAATATTCTTATTTAATCCTAGATTCATAGGTGATTCATGAAACATCCAACCCCTAGCTTTTTCTTCTACTTTGGCTTCTCATATTTGGGTTATAACACTCTTTATTAATAATTCCAATGGATAAAATAATGTTTTGAAATTAGCTGGCTAATAGTCTGAATAAAGGTTCTACTGAGGAAAATGTTAGTAGCAACTAAATTTGTATTTATTTATTTATCCATTCAGCAATCTTTAACCACATATCTAAACTATCTTCCTCCTCTTGAAAGAACACATGTGAGGTGTCTTTATTTTAATACTCGTTGATGTTTGACTAGAAAGCTCTTTGTGGAAAGTTTATCTAGATGTTAAAAACTGTGCATGTGTGGTTCTTTTTCCCCCCTCAACTCTGCAATCTGTATATTGCCAAGCACAGTGCCTTTTATTCATTCAGGCATTCATTCAAACCGCTCAGTAATGGTTTCTGAGGTGCTAAGAACACTCAGAGCCTCCTTTTTCAGAGAGCTCACAGTCTAAGGATGGAGACCAAGTAGTAAACCCTTCGATTCCTGGTTAATGCTACACATAAGGAGTAGGAAAGTGTCTTGGGAGCACAAAGAAGGGCATCTCATATCTTTCAAGCAAAGACTAAATTCTCAAGAATGGATACAGTTAGGCAGGTAAATGAAGATTTGACAGTGGTAGCCTGACATGGTGGCTCAATATGAGTGTAGCTGAAATGCCTGATGGAGCAGGGTTGCGATGTTGAGACTGTGGATATGGTCAACTATAATTGAAAATGGATTAATAGGACTCTTATGTCTAACCAAGAAATCTGTGCTTTATTCTGAGGACAATAATGAGCTACTTCTGAAATGGTTTTAATTGCAAATGACATAGATTTATCATTTAAGAAGAATCACTCTTGGTACAGGGTGGAAAATGGATGCAAGAGAAAATTTTGAAGGCTGTTATAATATATACCCTATTTCCCCGAAAATAAGACAGTCTCTTCTGTTAATTTTTTCTCCCAAAGTTGCTCTAGGTCTTATTTTCAGGGGATGTCTTATCTTTCCATGCGCTAGGTCTTATTTTCGGAGGATGTCTTATTTTCGGGGAAACACGGTAGGTGGGAGTTGATGGAACCATGGACTCAATGTACTGGCAGTGAATGGAGGGAAGTGGCTACAATAGAAATTGATGATTGGATAAGTTTAAGTGGAAAGGGAGGAAAGCCAGCCCAGGTTTAGGGAAGCAATGATATTGGGTATATAAGAAACTCTTGTTGAATTGAACCCAAATATTTAGTCAATGACTATGTATGTGTTCTTTTCCTGAAAGGAATTCTGTACTTAGGGGAATTATTCTTTTCAGAATGGTTTCTTTTAACTAAAGTTGATTTGAGGAATATTTTTTCTGCCAAGGGCCATTTGAATATTTGAGGGCCTACAATATTATCAACTTGAAAATTAGCCTGCTATATTTGGTCAAACATTTAATTAACTCACCACTTGTGTCTTGGTAGGACCAGAGCAAATGATTTTGAGGGCCTTATACAGTCCACAGGCCAGATGTTCCCCACCCTTGGGGAACTTCTTGTATTGAGTTGGTTAATAAAAGTATCAGTATCCCAAAGCTTAGGAAGACAAGAGTATGAGGTCAATGTGCTTCTTTACTTTTGTATATTGTAGTATTATTTTTTTTAAAAACCAGGAATCAGCTATAAATTTTCCCACTGTCAATTTCTAAACTGAAATCTCCCTTTACTAAAATGTCAACATGCAAATATTCACTTCAATGTCATTTCTTCTCTTTCCTTCATAGTTTTGATGTGGACAATGGCACATCTGCGGGACGGAGTCCCTTGGATCCCATGACCAGCCCAGGATCTGGGCTAATTCTCCAAGCAAACTTTGTCCACAGTCAACGTCGCGAGTCGTTTCTGTATCGATCCGACAGCGATTATGACCTCTCTCCAAAGTCTATGTCCCGGAACTCCTCCATCGCCAGTGATATGTAAGTAGAAGAGGGAGCTTCTATAGAAAATCAAGTTAGTTTATCTTACAGTTGATGATGTCATAAAACCAATGGTATTCTTTTGCCTGTATCGTTCTAGAATTTAGAAAGAATGGTGAGGGAAAACATGCAATCTAAAGATAAATAATATATTTAACTTGAAGACACTGTCACTCTTGATAAGAAAATTTTATTTTCCCATAGATACATTGTCTGGAAAAAGTGAGAGTTAAATTTTTAATGGAAACATTTACACTTAACACATCTATATATATAAAAGTCTAAGCAAACATTTGACTGTTCAACCAGTAGCTATAACATGCACTGACCACAAGGAGGCAGACACTCAAGGCACAGGCATGGAAACATGGAACAGACTGAATTCAGAGGGAAGCGGGGAGAAGGGAGGGTAGAAAGAGATTAACCAAAGATCTTATATGCATACTAAAGGCCCAGTGCATGGGTTTGTGGACCTGTGGGGTCCCTCGGCCTGTCCTGCCAAAATCGGCACAGTGCACAGATTCGTGCACCGTTGGGTTCCTCAGTCTGGCCTGTGAGGATCGGCCGAAACCAGCAGCCTGACATCTCCTGAGGGGTCCCAGATTGCGAGAGGGCACAGGCCAGGCCAAGGGATCCAACTAGTGCATGAATCTGTGCACTGGGCCTCTAGTTAGCTTATATTCATGTTGGTCCTGAGTTTTAATTACCCAGCCACATGCATATTTTCTAGAAATTTGAAAAGCCTTAAGCTCAGTTTTAAAACCCCTTGTTATTACAGTGCATAGCATTTTTATTATATCTTAATGGATGTGACATACAGATGTTAGTGTTGGTTTAACAGATCATCTGAGAGGTCTTTGTGGGGGTTTGCTGAAATTAAACAATTTTTGGAATATGAATTGCTAAAGGCAAGCACAGAAAATATTAAACAAACTTAAATATCATTTAAATGATGGTACAGCTTAGAAAAATAATTAAAAATGATAAGTAGGTTTGCAGATCACGCACTATTATTAGCTCATTTTCTCAGCACAATTCAATCCTGTGTTTACTGTCATTTTCTGCAGCTTTCTACATTGCGAAGGCTTCTAAATAAGACCTTGCACTGTCATTTATGGCAATTCTTCCCTCTGTATGTAGTCATCCCCACTTCCCTCGTCTGCATCTAGATATTTATCTAACAACATTACCATTTTCTCCTGATACCATCTTAGAAACTCAGGACAGGTGGCAATTAACCTTAAAGGGATTAACACATATAAGGCTTTTGATGGTCTAGAGTTATTCTTGGAATCCTAACAGTGGCCAATAGGTCTGAATAGGGCTTTAGAAGTGAAATTGTACTTTCCTCATTTTCACAACATATAGTTGTGGGTTGCCTTTTTATTAACACTTGTAAAGTGAGAACACAGTTAATGCTCTGGCCTCCCTAGGAATGAACAATTAAACTGCAACCAATTTTTATTCAAATACTGAATTACTAAACTCTTACTGGGTATCTATCCCTGTGTGAAGCATTGCAGGAAATATACAAAAGCCATAAAACAATATTCTTGATGTAAAATGATACATAATCTGTGGAATGACAGATCTCAGATCAAATGGTTAGTGGAAAAGACAGTATGTGAACCTTAATTTGTGTCCATGTGGACTACAGTGAAAAACATCTCACTGTCTGTTTGAATAATGCACATGTCTATGCTATCTTTCAAAAAATACACGTTTCCTTTATTCTTTTTTTTTTGCACTTAAAATTGTTCAATAAATTATATCTCCCCAAAGATGTACATCTGTCCTCTACATTTCTTTACCGTGTTGTGTTGCTTAATATTCTGAAGTCTATCTCCCATTCATATTGACCTCTGAAAATCCATTCATTAAAAACTTGAAATGAATACATTCTATTTCCAAGACATGTTGCCAGTTATTAGACAAAGTGCAAAATGGTTTTCATCTCCTCACTTTTATCATTGTTGTGTTCTCTGTTCCTCCTACTCACAGACCTCTCCTTTACCAGCTCCTTTTATCACCCCTTAACAACTGTATTTCCCCAAAGTATAGCCCATCACCCTTTGGACTCTGATTTTGGAAGTGATTTTGTGTATGTATTCACCTATCAGCTTTTGTCAGATAACGTATTGCTCAGTATCTCTGGCCCTGCAACCTTAGGTGAACTCCAGATCAGGTCTGTAGCACTTAAACGCTTCCTGTAAATCTGCACTTGCTTATTCCACTGTGTCTCACAATCATTGATTTGTACATGTTCTTCATTAATAAGTGAGCTTCAGATCTGTAGCACTTAATTGCATTTGGAAATTTATACTTTTTTTCAACTGTTACATCACACTCATTAATTAATAATACAGGTCTACAGTTGCTCTCACAGAAAATAATACAATAATTAATAAATGATAATACAAGAATAAACTGTTTTGTGTATTCACAACTGTAAACCTATTTTTGCCCATTATTTATCATTAATTCCTTTTATTAATGGTGTCTGCTCTTCTTCATCCCAAAACAGCTTCCTTTTTCCAATAGTTTTATTTCTGTTATTTTTATCCCACTTTCTTGGGTTTGAAATTTAAGACATTTAGTCATTCTCTTACACATAATTAACACACTATGACCTTTATAATAAAGTATAGTAACACTATCTGTGAGGCATTTACTAAACTATGGAAGCAGAGAGGACTAGGAGAGTTTGCCATCCAGGGAAAGCCAGGCTAAAGGAGCAATATTTGCATAACATGAGGCAAGAGAAATCATGGCTCAGTTAAGGAATGACAGTTTGGATGGTGTGAGTAGGGAACTGTGACAGGAGAGAAAGACTATTTGAATACAGTATATGGGACCTAAAAGCCACAACGTTTGTAGCTGGATTTGGCATGGTCACATTCTTACTTTTATTGCATTCTGATTAATCTATTGTTGAGTGATTACATACCAAAGTTATGCAGGAAAGTGGATCATGTTGAAATCAACAGAAAAAAAAGAAGGTTAAATATGAAGGAGGCCCAGGGCAAGGGACTGGTGATGGGATAAAGAGGCTGGTCCAGATGCAAAGGGCTTACAGAATGGGTGTTTGTGGTGTATGTGTGTGAGTGTGTGTGTGTGTGTGTGTGTGTGTGTGTGTGTGTGTTGGGGCATACCCAGAGGAGAAGAAGAATGAAAGGAAATGCTCTGGATGATTTTATATGTATTGTTCTAGTTACGCTTCCCTATTAAGAAAACCCCTTAGAAATTTCAAATTAAACAGTACCAGTGAAGGTTTGTGATTATTTATTTGAATGAAATATTTTGGAAAGTTGAAATATAAGCATTTAATTTATTGAGAAAGTGAGAAGGAAGCTATCACTTCCTAATAGACAGGATGTCATCACCTTATTATTTATTTATAAATAGGTACTCATTACATAGGTGAGGCACAAGGAGAAAATAAGAGGCATGATGGTTATAATAATAACCATAGACCCATTACATGCATATGCCACCCTGCACTTCTCCAAGTATCTTCACATCTGCTCTCTCATTTGGCACTTTTCACAGTCCCATGGATCGGGACACTCGTTACGTCATTTTACAGATGAGAGATCTAAGGTCCTGAGAGCTTAACCTTTTTAAAGACATACAACAAAAACTTTGATGGTTTCTAGAAGAACATTATTTTGATGAAGCCACTTAAGCAAAGTGCTATGCACCATTGCAGGAAAACTGCTGAGGAACAGAAGTACCTGCTGACCAAATACATTGACCAAATTAGTCGGCACTGTGAACATTTGATTTTCATTTATATTTTAGGAATAAAATAATAGCTCAGATTGGTTAGAGTAGAAATAAAGAAAATATGTGGCCAATTCTTGGAAATATATATACGTAATTCTCCAGAACTAGGCTAAACTCAGCATCTAAAATTCTTATATATGGCAGAGAAGTTCCTGGCAGCTTCTGCTCAGAAGATTGTCATATCATTTACTAAATGTTTTCTCAACTGAGGGGTATATTCCTTGGCTGCATTTTTAATTAGTATCATTTTCTTACACATTTAGCCATTATTGATGGCACCTAATTTATGCCAGTGTATTGTTTGAGATGTTATAGATCCATAAAAACAAGATAAAAGTTTTGTTCGAATCATGCATTTCTGTCTTTTTTTAAAAAAAAAAAAAAGAAAGAAAGAAAGAAAGAAAGAAATTTAAAAATAGAAATATATTTCCATATAAATCTCTATTTCCACTTACATATCAATCACTTTACATATTTGCTTGTCAGTGTTAGATCCTTGGTGCATTGTTCTTAATGCATTCTGTATTATTTCCAAAGCCATATAAGGAAAGTTAATCACACTGCTCGAACAATTATGTGATGTATTTATTCACATAAGATATGCTGGGGAGTATTAAATCCTCCTCCCTACATCCCTGCAATATGAGACATAAAGATGTGCTTCACAAATATGACGAAAGAAAGCCTTCAAGAAAAGCTAAGTCGGAAGTAGCAGACACGGGGCTTTTTTCCACAGATGTGCTGAGGAAACATCCCCACTGATTCCATCTGCTTATGGCCGTTTCTCTCAGGCTTTGTGTTGGCTTTCCTGAAGGGTCTTGAGACTTCAGAGTTTTGCTTAGCCTAGATTGAAAAACTAACTTGCTGTCACTGACTACTACAGGTATATCTAAAACATATGTAAGGCATTAGTTCCTCCTTTCCTCTCATCGAACGCAGACAAGTTAGAAGCAGAAAGAGAAAGAACAGCTCACACCTCAGCAAATGTGGGAGGCTGCACTGTGACAGGAAATCACTTACGCAATTCAGTGAAGGACTTTGTCTCCTAGCAAATGTTACGAATGATCCCAAGACCATTGTTTCACTTCTAGAAAGAACACGCCTGCCTGCAGATCGCATGTTTCCATGCCTAATATCCATGCCTGCTTTGAGACTTAGAGAAGTTCAAATTAAACTTGTTATTTCCACCATGGCCAGTTTTGTTTCATAGGCTG